GCACCTGTGAAATTTATTGGCACACCTCTGGCAAGACAGTGATTAATGAGTGATGAAGAAAGTGTTTTTTTTTTTTTTTTTTGGGGGGGGGGGTCACCCTACCTCAGTGGGAAATGGCCAATGTGCTAAAAAATAATAAAAACTTACTAGACTATAATGCAACTATTTTTCTTATTAGCATGTACAGGCAAGCACTGCTTATACAGCAGATTAGGTTCCAAGCTACTGTAAGGTCCCACTTATACAGCAGGTTAGGTTCTAGGCTACTACTCTGGCAATTGCTGTAAAGTGAAACATAGCCTTTTTTCACTTTCAAATGCATAGAAAAGCCTGATAACATGTTTACGTTATCATATATTAAATGAGCAATAGAACCAGGCCTAAAAAATGCATATACAGTACACACATTAATTACCCTAAAATATTTTCATTCTTAGTTTATAGTGAGTGGTGAATATATTTATTGTAGGAAGTCTGATTAAATGAAGAATGGCTATAATTAAACACCGCTGCATTAGCAAAATGCTATTTAGCAAAGCACTGTAAAGTGTGGCCTGTCCCTTGTAGTCTTAGGTTAAGTTAAAGCTTGACTGAAATGCACTCAAGTGTCACCCATTTCTGTATTAACAATGTATCATGTTGGAATAAACTTTTATTGTATTGTAATATTGTAAAGATGTTTCATAATTGTCTTCAAAGTGTTTGCTTACATATTTACACTTTGTAATATTATTAAAACTTAATTAGTAATACCTGTAAAGTGTAAAGCCTTCAGAATGTTGTGTATAGTTATTAAAACTTGAATAATTTCAGAGTACCTATAATCCAATATACTCACTATACTCGCTGCTCTACACTCACTCTCACTCCCTCGTGCTCCACCACATTCATTCTCTCATATACCACCACACTCACACCAAATAAAAGGCAGGGAGATGAGAGGCAGAAATGGAGATAGGAAAGGGGAAGAAGGTAATGAAATGGGGCAGAGTGGAAGAGAGAGAGGAAGGAAAGTGCTATATAATACATTTCAAGGCTATGCCTTGTCAATATAGAGTAAGAATTAGGATTAGTCTGCCCAAAATGCCTAGGCATGCTAGTTGCCTTCTTTGTAATTAATATTTTATTATATGTAAACCACACATTGTAAGCTTTGCAAAGAAATAGACATTTTCATTTCATTTTCATTTTCTTGCATAACCTTGTTTCTTGGTTCAGATATGCTGGAGTAGGAAGCGAGGTTAAGTTAGTGCTGGTGCATTTTGTTTGCATAGTAATTAAAATACATATGTATATACAGTAGTTCTTCCAAATCCCCAGGAGATACGTTCCAAGACCTACCATGGATTCTCTAAACTGCGGATAGTAGCAAACCCTATGAATAAGTTTAATTTATAAATTATGCACAGTAATTGGAGAATTAGCAGTCTTTTACTGATGGAAAGACTTCAGGGCTTTCCTTAGGCTTTGAAGAACTGCTACCATGACTACATTTTCACTTTCATGCCATTATTAAGCAAAATTAAGGGTTATTTTCAGGTCACAGTAAACAGCGGATAATTGAAACCTCAGAAACCGGACCCACAAATGCAGCGGTCCTACTGTATTATTTTTACCCTATCAGTCATCTTCCAAGGCAGGTTAGCCCAAAACAGAAGAAATATATTCACCATCATTATTCAGTTGCTGTTTTACCAGTTTCCAGACATAATTCAAATGGCCCTCCAATCTGCACTATTCCTATCAGTCTTTCAGTTTACAGGCACTAAACTTTCTCTTTCAGAAGTCAAATTTGGATAGCTGGTTTACCCTGGATTCCTACATGTTACCTTGCTCACACTCCAACAGCCCATCAAAAGTCCACTTTTCTGTGATTTTTAAATTGATCAAAATATTATATATATACCTCTTCTACTTGTCTGTGATTTGCATATAATCAACATCTGCAAGACAGTGATAATGTGAATGATGGTGAAAGTGTTTTTTTTGGGTCAACCTACCTTGGTGAAAGATGGCCAGTGTGTTTAAAAAAAATGTACTGTATATCTAGCTCTTAATTTTGTTTTTTTTACCCAGGTGAAAGTCTTGCCAAATTTCCTGGGCATCAACGTGCATTGGATTTGCACAGGTACAGAGGCAGACAACCAAATAGAAGAAATACTGCAGAAGAATGCCAAACAAATCCGCCATATACTGTCTCAGTTATACAACATAGGTCACATTCCTCCCATCACATTTGTGAAAGGTGACTACATATTAAAAATGAAAATTAATTTTATATCCAAATAGAGCTTACAATAGTTACAAGTACAAATACAGTAGTGGAAAGTCACTAATTATGCAGGGCATTTTGGGGCATGGTTAATGGTATTGGTTAGATTTTAATTTAGTACCCTTCAGAGGGGTAGTGAATTGCTGTTTGACTACACCAGGTTTAGCAGTTCACTATGAATAATCAGTACAGGTGCTCCTTGACTTATAATGGTTTGACTTACGATATTTTGACTTTACAATGGTACAAAAGCAATTACTTTGGAGATGAAACTTAAGATAATTACCCAGCATGAAGGTTGCAAGTCCACAACTTGTATTCATTTATTTACTTTTCAATACTGGTACAGTGGTACCTCGAGTTTCAAACAGCTCCCAACTCGTACAGTTATGTAAGTGTATTTTTGTAAGTGCTTTTGTAAGTGTATTTTTGGGGGTCTGAAACGGACTAATCTAATTTACGTTATTCCTTATGGGAACAAATTCATTCAGTATCAGCACACGAACAGCCTTCTGGAATGAATTAAGTTCGTAACTTGAGGTACCACTGTATTTAGTTACAGTAATTTGTTTATTCACTTATTCAGTGACAGTAGTAATTTATTTACTTATTTATTTAGCATTCTCCATGGGGAAGTAGAACAGAATTCTTCCTCTGTAAGCCATGCGTGTCGTAAGAGGTGACTAAAATGCCACGAGCAAGAGGCTAGTAACTCCTTCTTCTATATACTATTTTTTTTTTTTTCAACAAGTCGGCCGTCTCCCACCGAGGCAGGGTGACCCAAAAAAGAAAGAAAATCCCCAAAAAGAAAATACTTTCATCATCATTCAACACTTTCACCACACTCACACATTATCACTGCTTTTGCAGAGGTGCTCAGAATACAACAGTTTAGAAGCATATACGTATAAAGATACACAACATATCCCTCCAAACTGCCAATATCCCAAACCCCTCCTTTAAAGTGCAGGCATTGTACTTCCCATTTCCAGGACTCAAGTCATATCTATCATATGCCTTTTCTAAATCCATAAATGCAATAAAAACTTCCCTACCTTTATCTAAATACTGTTCACATATATGCTTCAATGTAAACACTTGATCTACACATCCCCTACCCACTCTGAAGCCTCCCTGCTCATCCGCAATCCTACATTCTGTCTTACCTCTAATTCTTTCAATTATAACCCTACCGTATACTTTTCCTGGTATACTCAGTAAACTTATTCCTCTATAATTTTTACAATCTCTTTTGTCCCTTTTCCCTTTATATAAAGGGACTATACATGCTCTCCGCCAATCCCTAGGTACCTTCCCCTCTTTCATACATTTATTAAACAAAAGTACCAACCACTCCAACACTATATCTCCCCCTGCTTTTAACATTTCTGTCATGATCGCATCAGTTCCAGCTGCTTTACCCCCTTTCATTCTACGTAATGCCTCACGTACCTCCACCACACTTACATTCTGCTCTTCTTCACTCCTAAAAGATGATATACCTCCCTGGCCAGTGCATGAAATTACTGCCTCCCTTTCTTCCTCAACATTTTTAACTGACAAATCCATACTTTCCCTAGGCTTTCTTAACTTGTTTAACTCACTCCAAATTTTTTTCTTATTTTCATTAAAATTTCTTGACAGTGCCTCTCCCTCTCTTTCATCTGCTCTCCTTTTGCACTCTCTCACCACTCTCTTCACCTTTCTTTTACTCTCCATATACTCTGCTCTTCTTATAACACTTCTGCTTTGTAAAAACCTCTCGTAAGCTACCTTTTTTCTTTTTATCACACCCTTTACTTCATCATTCCACCAATCACTCCTCTTTCCTCCTGCCCCCACCCTCCTATAACCACAAACTTCTGCCCCACATTCTAATACTGCATTTTTAAAACTATTCCAACCCTCTTCAACCCCCCACTACTCATCTTTGCACTAGCCCACCTTTCTGCCAATAGTCGCTTATATCTCGCCCGAACTTCCTCCTCCCTTAGTTTATACACTTTCACCTCCCTCTTACTTGTTGTTGCCACCTTCCTCTTTTCCCATCTACCTCTTACTCTAACTGTAGCTACAACTAAATAATGATCCGATATATCAGTTGCCCCTCTATAAACATGTACATCCTGGAGCCTACCCATCAACCTTTTATCCACCAATACATAATCTAACAAACTACTTTCATTACGTGCTACATCATACCTTGTATATTTATTTATCCTCTTTTTCATAAAATATATATTACTTATTACCAAATTTCTTTCTACACATAGCTCAATTAAAGGCTCCCCATTTACATTTAACCCCTGGCACCCCAAATTTACCTACTACTCCCTCCATAACATTTTTACCCACTTTAGCATTGAAATCTCCAACCACCATTACTCTCACACTTGATTCAAAACTCCCCAAGCATTTACTCAACATTTCCCAGAATCTCTCTCTCCCCTCTACACTTCTCTCTTCTCCAGGTGCATACACGCTTACTATAACCCATTTTCACATCCAATCTTTATTTTACTCCACATAATCCTTGAATTTATACATTTGTAGTCCCTCTTTTCCTGCCATAGCTTATCCTTCAACATTATTGCTACTCCTTCTTTAGCTCTAACTCTATTTGAAACCCCTGACCTAATCCCATTTATTCCTCTCCATTGAAACTCTCCCACCCCCTTCAGCTTTGTTTCACTTAAAGCCAGGACATCCAGTTTCTTCTCATTCATAACATCCACAATCATCTCTTTCTTATCATTTGCACAACATCCACCCACATTCAGACTTCCCACTTTGACAATTTTCTTCTTCTTATTCTTTTTAGTAATCTTTACAGGAAAAGGGGTTACTAGCCCATTGTTCCCGGCATTTTAGTTGACTTTTACAACACGCAAGGCTTACGGAGGAAAGATTCTTATTCCACTTCCCCATGGATATAAAAGGAAAAGTAATAAGACCAAGAACTATTAAGATAAAATTAAAGAAAACTCAGATGAGTGTGTATAAATAAATGTGTACATGTATGTGTAGTGTGACCTAAGTGTAAGTAGAAGTAGCAAGACATGCCTGTAATCTTGCATATTTATGAGACAGGCAAAAGACACCAGCAATCCTACCATCATGTAAAACAATTACAGGCTTTTGTTTTACACTCACTTGGCAGGATGGTAGTACCTCCCTGGGTGGTTGCTGTCTACCAACCTACTACTTATACTATGTATATTACTAAATTTAAAAAGAGAAACTTTCATTTTTCTTTTTGGGCTGCCCTGCCTCGGTAAGATACGGCTAGTTTGTTGAAAGAATAATTTGTTTAACATATGAACAACCCCCCTTTTTCCATGGGCAGTTCCTTGATGCTGGTGACAGGCTTTTTATCTAAGGAATTGGACCTTCACTCCAATTCTGTAAATAGAGCCTGAATGTGTTCCATCCCCCTAAGTGCTGTATGAATCCTACGAGTTTACCACTTCCCCCAATGAATGTAATAATAATAATAATACCCCTCCTACATTCCACCCTAGATTTATACACCCTTTTTATCATCCTGTCCCTCTCCATCTTTTCTAAACACCCAATCCACCTCAACAATCCCTCTTTAGCCCTCTGAATTATGCCCTCTTTTAATTTGTACACTGCAGATTCACTGCAGAATATCCTAACCCTCTGAGGGGTGGGGTGGGGATATTGCAGTTTGGAGGGGCATCTAAACTGTAATATTGGCACAATTGGCAAGACAGTGATAGTGATGGTAAAAGCGTTTCTTCTTTTTTAGGTCACCCTACCTTGGTGGGAGACGGCCAATATGTTTAGGAAAAACATTTACATAACACATTGCTCTCATCTATGATATCTCTACTCTATCTTCCTTATTACTGCAATGTTCAAAACCTATGCCTGACACCTATATTAATGTGTTGGTAACACTACTCTGGTACATTCTCTTTTTTCCCTCCATACATAAACTTTTCTTTCCACAAATGCATAAACATATCACCTACCTTTTTATCTTCATCTCTTCTGTGGTTCACCTCATCTCTCAAAAACCCATATACTGATATGTCCACTTCCAAATATCCAAGTAAATCCATTTCCTCCATACTCCATCCAATCTTTCATTGTCTAGAATTTTGTTGTCATTCCCCTCCCCCCCCAAATCATCATGGGTTTTTCATTGTTCACTTTTAATCTCCCACTTTTACATACTCTCTCAAATTTCTTCGCCAAACTTTACAGATTGTCTTCAGAATTTCCCAGTTTATCAAATCAGCAGAGTAATTATAACAACCTCAACTTTGTATTAGATTCACCAGCTTTTAATACCATGCCACTCCCTAACACCCTAGAATTCACATATTTTACAACCCCTATCCATAAATGTCAACAACCTGTCTAATTAGTTAAGCCCAACTTTCACAGGGAAATGGTACCCCTTTTTCCTATGTACCCTAACCTGAGCCTCACTCTTTACTGCTTTTAGTAACCTACCACCTATTCCATACATCTGCCACATTGCTTTCTAGTCCCCTATTAAATGTCCTTTCTGAATCCATAAATGCAACAAACAGTTCTTTACCCTTGTCTGAGTACTGCTGAGTTATATGCTGTAATATATATGCTTAGTAAATAAAGTGTAACGAAAATTTGTCAGTACTCGATAATAACCCACATGGAGACATGCTCAGAAAATTACTTGATCTGTATGTTTTTACCCCCTGCTGAAGAGGATCCCAGCATGGGGTTGAAATATACAGATCAATTAATCTTTTGTATTTCTGTCTCTATGTGGGTTGTTAGTAGTAACCTTAGAAACATGATAACTGAGTCAGAGTTGAATAAACACCACCTGATACTTACAGGAGACTTCAGCATAAACCTCATCCAAGCAACTGACCCTCCAGTAGCTGATTTTACAAACACTATGAACAACTGCTTGTTGCTACCCTCTATAACTAAGCCAACAAGAATCTCTGAGACAAGTGCCTCATTACTTGACCATATCATTATCATTACTTGACTATATAAAGACACACTGAGGGTAAATCTCTAGGTTTTCTCCTTGATTGTAATCTTAAATTTCACTCTCACATCCAACACATAGCCAAGAAAATTTCCAAATCAGTAGGCATTCTTTCCAAGATACGATACTGTGTACCACAAACAACACTCCTTACCCTATACCACTCTTTAATACATGTATATCCTTACCTCACCTATGGTATTTGTGCCTGGGGATCAACCACAGCCAACCACTTTAAACCTTTAATAACCCAACAGAAAGCTGCTGTGCAGATGATTACCAGTTCCTGTGCTAGACAGCACACCCCACCACTTTTCAAAAGCCTGAACTTGCTAAATATACGAGACATACACTCCACTATATACCCTCCACTTAAACAACTACTTGACAGTTACAACAGAATGCACAGTGACAATACAGGGCATAAGGCACTCTTCAACATTCCTCGTGTCAGTCTCACAGTATGCAAAAATGCTATGCACATAAAGGGCTTGAAGATCTGGAAGTCGCTACCAGAACCTGTAAAGGATCTCCTGACTACTTATAAATTTAGGACTATGCTAAAAAATCATCTTATCTCTCAATACTAACCAAAGCAACTGCTAATTAGTTCTATTATGTGACCTCTACACTTTTAAACTTCTGCCAATCCATGAAATATTACTGCCTGAACCATTATTTGTAATATTGTTTTTATAATGTGCAACTTTAAGATTATTATATTTATAAACCTCCACCTTGACTACCTCGCATTAGTATTAAGATTAAATAAGACTGTAATACAGTTAACCACTATTTCTCGCCTAGTTTTAAGTAGTTACTATGTGCTATTATTGTGTATAAGTAATTATACACAATACTATATAGTATTAGGATTAGTCTGCCTGAAATGCCCTGGCATGACAGTGGCTTTCTTTGTACTTAGCAAACCAAAATTGTAATTACACATTGTAATGTTTACAAAGAAATAAACCTTTATCTTTATCTTTAGTCTACACATTCCCTTCCCTTCCTAAATCCTCCTTATTTCTCTGCAATCCTACTTTCTGCCTTACCCATAATTCAGTAATAATTTTATTGTATACTTTACCAAATTTACTCAAGAGCCCTAGCCATGTAATTCTTACATTCTCTCATCATCTTTTCTCTCTTATACAAGGGCATTAGGAATGCTCTCTACCAATCATTAGGTATTATCATTTTAATTATTGTTGCAGATCACAGAGTATATAAACTGCAGGAAGTGGAAAGGAGGCTTGCAGTGGCAGATTTTGGTGATGGTTTCATCCCCTCAGACCCAGTACACCACTTAAAGTCATCTCTTGTGCTCAACACAAAGCTGAATGATAATCTTAAGGTAAAAGAAAAGATTACACCATCCTGCTTTGATGACCTTTTCTCAACACCACCACTACCACCTCCCTCACCATCTTGTCTACTTACTTAATGACCTCCCTTGCATTCCTTTCTACTGATGACCTTCACCATCCTGTCTGCTGATGACCCCTTGCAATCCTTGCTACTGATAACCTTCTGTCACCATCTTGTCTATTGATGTCCCCTTGTAATTCTTGTTGCTGATAACCTTCCATCACCATCTTGTCTACTGATGACCTCGTAACACAGACACCACCACTTCCCTATTATCCCGGTGTGTTCATTAATTTGTGTACCATAAATTATTATTGTTATAAGGTCAATGCTTAACATATAAATTAGTAAGCTCCCATTTTCTTATAATTCCTACTTAAAACTTAGATCATTCTCAGCAGCTTTAATTTATTTGAATATACTCTAGGTCATAATTTAGAAATATTTTTTTGCTTGTTACATAATTTTTTGTACATTACTGTGTATTACAGGAAACCATAAATGATCTGGAAGTAAAAACAGAGGATGCCTTTGCAGAAGCACTCAAAATGTCCTTGGCTAGTCCAGCTTCTTCAGATGAGCTAGTAGATGATATACCCCCACTTGATCTCCCTGCAATGAGAAATGATGTTCTTGGGGTTGACACCCAAAAAATTTACAAAATGGTATGTCTTATTCTTAAATTCATACAACTAGAATTTAACGAATAAAGTCAGTATAAACCTGGAGTACATGTGATCATAATCTACTTTCACATTTTTGTATGGGCTAAGATCTATTATTACACCTCAGATCATTTCAAAGCTCAGCCCTGTCTCAGACATTACTAATGCCTTCCCAGGATGATACCCACAGTAGTTGACCAACACCCAGGTACCTACTTACTATTAGGGAACAGAGGCAACAGTGTAAGAAAACTTGTCTAAGTCTCTCCTTGCCCAGGATGCTACCCAAAACAATTAATACCCAGGTACAGTAGGGCCCAGGTTAGGTTCCAGGCTACTGCCATAAAGTGGAACACCCTATTTTTCCACTTATGAATGCATAGAAGTACTAGATAACAAGTTTACACTAACATATATTAAGCTAGCAATAGAACTAGGCATTAAAAAACAATAAAAAAGTAAAATACACATACAGTACACTCATTACCTACCTTAAAATATTTGTAGACTTAATGTAGGGCAAGATGAGTAGTATTTATTGTAAGAAATCAAGTGTGGTGTGTATGGTAGCCAGTCAGGCTACCATACCAGGCCAACCCACCCACGCATAATATTTAAGTGTCCCGGAGCGATAAAATGCATGTACAGTTCACTCATTACTTACCTTAAAATATTTGTAGTTTCAGTGTAGGGTCAGAGGTGAGTAAATGAGATAAAACGAATAAATGAGAGAGAGAATAAGTATACATGAGAGAGGACACTCACGGAGTTATATAAACAAACCAGGCATACACGAGTTTTGTAAACAAACCAGGCAAACACATCTGGTTTGTACTCACCTAATTGTGGTTGCAGGGGTCGAGACTCGGCTCCTGGCCCCGCCTCTTCACTGATTGCTACTGGGTCCTCTCTCTCTCTCTGCTTCCTGAGCTTTGTCATACCTCTTCTTAAAACTATGTATGGTTCCTGCTTCCACTACTTCACTTGCTAGGCTATTCCACTTGCTGACAACTCTATGACTGAAGAAATACTTCCTAACGTCCCTGTGACTCGTCTGAGTCTTCAGCTTCCAGTTGTGACCCCTTGTCCCTGTGTTCCCTCTCTGGAACTTCCTATCTCTGTCCACCTTGTCTATTCCCCGCAGTATCTTGTATGTCGTTATCATGTCTCCCCTGACCCTTCTGTCCTCCAGTGTCGTCAGTCCGATTTCCCTTAACCTTTCCTCGTACGACATATCCTTGAGCTCTGGGACTAGCCTTGTTGCAAACCTTTGTACTTTCTCTAACTTCTTGACGTGCTTGACCAGGTGTGGGCTCCAGACTGGTGCTGCATACTCCAGTATGGGCCTAACATACACAGTGTACAGTGTCTTGAACGATTCCTTATTAAGGTATTGGAACGCTATTCTCAGGTTTGCCAGGCGCCCGTATGCTGCAGCAGTTATTTGGTTGATGTGTGCCTCCGGTGATGTGCTCGGTGTTATGGTCACCCCAAGGTCTTTCTCCCTGAGTGAGGTCTGTAGTCTTTGTCCACCTAGCCTATACTCTGTCTGCGGTCTTCTTTGCCCCTCCCCAATCTTCATGACTTTGCATTTGGCTGGATTGAATTTGAGAAGCCAGTTACTGGACCACATGTCCAGCCTGTCCAGGTCTCTTTGCAGTCCTGCCTCATCCTCGTCCGATTTAATTCTTCTCATCAACTTCACGTCATCTGCGAACAGGGACACTTCAGAGTCTATTCCTTCCATCATGTCGTTCACATTTATCAAAAATAGCACTGGTCCTAGAACTGACCCCTGTGGGACCCCGCTCGTAACAGGCGTCCACTGTGATACCTCTTCATGTACCATGACTCGTTGCTGCCTCCCTGTCAGGTATTCCCTTATCCATTGCAGTGCCCTCCCTTTTACATGCGCCTGATCCTCCAGCTTCTGCGCTAATCTCTTGTGGGGAACTGTGTCAAAGGCCTTCCTGCAGTCTAGGAAAACGCAATCTACCCACCCCTCTCTCTCGTGTCTTACTTCTTGTGTTCAAGTTACATTGTGTACAAGTTGTCTCTACATTGATATGGTAGAATAAATAAAGAGGAACACTCCTATTCTCATGTAACACCATTTTTAGAAGAAATGATGCTCTGAGTGAAGGCATACGAAAGGAATAATTTTCTACAGTTACTCCCAGTAACACAATTTCTCTTATGTTGGACTAGAGAAAATGTTATTCATGCCATCACTTGTACAAGTCATCTGGGTACCACATCTCATATTTGTTTATTTTTTCTACTATGGGTTGTATTTATCGTCTTTATATGTTACGTATAGTGTTTATTATATAATTTTGAAAAAATATCATAGATGGATTAATGAAAATGTGTACATGTATATTAATGTAATATACGACATTTAATGAGACTCGGTGATTATTATTGAGTATTATTATCATTACTAATATGGCATCTCGAGACATAATGTGTACCTGCACGCCAGCACAGTGTGTAAGTTTATTTAGGTATAGGTATACACAAGTGTAATTATCAAAGTATAGTGAAACCCTGGATTTCGGCTGCCCTGAGAATCAGACGCTTCGGGTTTCAACCGCTTTGTTTGGCCAAATTTTGTCCCCCATTTAGGCCAGTGTACCAGACCTGTCCACCTGCCTGCGCAGGCATCGTGAGCCAGTCTGGCTTTGTTTATCCTTGAGTGAACATTACCCTGTGTGCTCATCCAAACATTTCACAATAAATTCATTGTTTAGTGCTTGTTTATTGATTGTGACTATGAAATAATTGAAGAAATTATAGCAAAGTACCAAAGTGGAGGAGGAAGAGAGAGGGGAGAATATGCCTTCTTCAATAATTCTACGATATGTACGATACTAAAACAGCACTAGTCGATAAAGGCTATAGCGCCAGCCAGTGTAACATTAACAGTGTAGCAAGTAAAGCGATTAATCGATAGAAAAAGGAGTGCACAAAACTGACTCCTCCAATGTTATTGGAGTTATATAGGGCGACTGACAAGAGCGCTGTCTCTGCTGCTGCCATCACCGCCACTATGTAAGGCTTAGCTTTCAGTGGCCCTTATACACCCAACAACAAACAACAAAGCAGCGCTTGTCGGTTAGGGAGAGAGACATATGACATGTTTTATTCATTCTAGAGTATATATCATGTTTCTATGTTATTAATATTGCTTATTATGTCATATTAGATGAATTGTGCTAGATAAATAACCTGTAGAGTTGATATTAGTGTCATATTGAAGGACTATCTTGTCCTGCCTCCAAACAAACTCTCCTGCCTCTCTCATATGCCAACAAGCATCTTCAATGAAGGTAAAATTGATTTAAATGTTCATTTATCCATTAAAATTAGTGCTTTATATGTATTTCTCATTGTTTTCTGTATGTAAACCTATAGTATTTATTCTTTAAATAAATGAATTTTTTGTGAATATTTTTGGAAAGTACAGATTAATTGGTTTTACATTATTTCTTATGGGAAATATTGCTCTGACTTTAGGCCGTTTCGACTTTAGGCCTAGCTCCTGGAACGGATTACGGCTGAAACTCGGGGTTCCACTGTACAGAGGGCCCTGCTTTACAGCGTTTCACTTTACGGCGTTCCGCTAATACGGTCATTTCAAATTATGACCAAAACTCGCTATACGGCTCCCCCCACCTGACTTTCTAATACGGTCACCGCGCCCCACCCTGTTTGTTTACATTCTTCGTGAGCTCAGTAAGCACTAAGTCTCTCCATTTTGTCTGGAAACTCCAAAATTTCAAATGTTTTTAAAAGTTATTTCATATTTTATATATACTCTGATAATTATACTTATGTATACCTGTACTTAAATAATTTATATACAGTGCTGGCATGCAGGTACACTTTTAAAATCAGTAAGAGTGTCTTATGTCCCAGAGTCATATTAGTAATGATAATAATAATATCGAGTCTCTTTTAAAATGTCGTATATTACTTTAAAATACACATTTTCATTAATCCATCTAGGAATTCTTTCAAAATTATATAATCACGATACAATAACATAAAAAGATGATAAATACACCCCAACAATAGAATAAATAAACATAAATATGAGATGTGGTAGCAGATGACTTGCACAAGTGATGCCATATTAGAAATGTTTATAAAAATAATAATAATCACCGAGTCTCATTAAATGTTGTATATACGTTAATATACACATTTTCATTAATCCCTCCATGATATTTTTTTCAAAATTATATAATAAACACGATACATAACATAAAAAGATGATAAATACACCCTACAATAGAATAAATAAACATAAATATGAGATGTGGTAAACCAGATAACTTGTACAAGTGATGCCAAAAATAACATTTTCTCTAATCTAACAAAAAGAGAAAATGTGTTACTGGGGTACTGTAGAAAATTATTCCTTTCGTATGTATGTAAGTAAGTTTATTCAGGTATACACAAAATACAGTTATATAGATTATCATACATAACAACATATGTGTAGAGAACCTAGGATAACCCAAAAAAGTCAGAGTGACTTTTTCCATTGCCTTCACTCAGAGCATCATTTCTTCTCAAAATGATGTTACATGAGATTGGGAGTGTTTTCTTTATTTAAATTTTACCGTATCAATGTAGAGACAACCTGTACACAATGTAACTTGTACACAAACCAGACGTGTTTCATTCGTTTACAAAACTTACCTTCACCTGGTTTGTTTACATAACTCTGCGCCTGTCCTCTTCATGCACTCATTCTTTCTCCTCTCATTTATTCGTTTTATCTCATTTACTTACTCTGACCCTACATTAAGACTACAAATTTTTTTAAGGTAAGTAATGAGTGAACTGTATATACATTTTTAAAACGCTCTGGGATGCTTAAATGTAATTTGAATATTTTTTGTAGGTGGGTTGGGCCCGGTATGGGAGCCCAGCTGACTACCATACATACCACACTTTGATTTTTTACAATAAATACTACTCATCTCACCTATATTTTAAAAGGGAAGTAATGAGTGAACTGTATATACATTTTATCACTCTGGGATGCTTAAATATCATAGAAATGTATGTGTGGGTGGGGTGGCCTGGTATGGTAGCCTGGCTGACTACCATACATACCACACTTGATTTCTTACAATAAATACTACTTGTCTCACCCTAGATTAAGACTATAAATATTTTAAGGTAAGTAATGAGTGCACTATGTGTATATTGTACTTTTTTATTGTTTTTTGATGCCTGGTTCTATTACTAACTTAATACAGTGGACCCTCGCATAACGATCACCTCCGAATGCGACCAATTATGTAAGTGTATTTAAGTAAGTGCGTTTGCACGTGTATGTTTGGGGGTCTGAAATGGACTAATCTACTTCACAATATTCCTTATGGGAACAAATTCAGTCAGTACTGGCACCTGAACATACTTCTGGAGTGAAAAAATATCGTTAACCGGGGGTCCACTGTATATGTTAGTGTAAACTTGTTATCTAGTGTTTGCATGCATTTGTAAGTGGAAAAAAAGGGTGTTCCACTTTACGGCGGTTTCCGCTTTACGGCGGTAGCCTGGAACCTAACCAGCCGTATAAGTGGGGCCTTCCTGTATATGTAAAATATGAAATAATTTTTAAAAACACGAAATTTTGGAGTTTCCACACGTGGTGGTTATGGAGCTCACAGAGAATGTAACCATATTAGAAAGTCAGGTGGGGGGAGCCGTATAGCAAGTTTTGGTCATAATTTGAAATGTCTGTATTAGTGGAACGCCATAAAGCAGGGGCTCTAATGTACCTATTTTACTACTAGGTGAACAAGGGCAAGAGGTTTAGAGACTTGCCCAGATGGCTAATTCTTACTTGAAAAGAAGGAATCCAATCTCGATTTATCAGGAAAAAATGGGAGTCCTCTGAAGTGTAATTTTTATTTTTATTAATTTTGAAAAGAATGTAGATTTAAGAAGACATCCAAATGAGGTGTAATTAATACAGTGGACCCCCGCATAACGATTACCTCCGAATGTGACCAATTATGTAAGTGTATTTATGTAAGTGCGTTTGCACGTGTATGTTTGGGGGTCTGAAATGGACTAATCTACTTCACAATATTTCTTATGGGAACAAATTCGGTCAGTACTGGCACCTGAACATACTTCTGGAGTGAAAAAATATCGTTAACCGGGAGTCCACTGTACAGTGTACCCCCGGTTAACGATATTTTTTCACTCCAGAAGTATGTTCAGGTGCCAGTACTGACCGAATTTGTTCCCATAAGAAATATTGTGAAGTAGATTAGTCCATTTCAGACCCCCAAACATACACGTACAAACGCACTTACATAAATACACTTACATAATTGGTCACATTCGGAGGTAATCGTTATGCGGGGGTCCACTGTACTTGTAAATAAATGTTTACTAAAATATGAGAAAGATTGCAAAGTACACTATATCAGAAATATTGCTGAATAAGTGTAGAAATCTTTGAGGAGAAATTCAATCACTACCTCTGCCAAGTGCCAGATCAACCAGGCTGCAATGGATATGTGAGCTAGTTGGCTGCCAACAGCAACAGCCCACTAGACCAGGCTGTTGGTGTAGGAAGACTCAAAACTAGTCACAGATATATCATAGCTATAAGAAACATAAGAATGGAGGGGTACTGCAGTAGGCTTACTGGCCGATGCTAGGCAGGGCCAACTTGCATCCACCCACACCCACTCGTGTACTTGTACAACCTGTTTTTAAAGTTTCCCAGAGTTTTCACTTTTGACACGACTCCCAGAGTTCTCACTTTTGTGATGCTACTCGGAAGGTGGTTCCACTTATTCACAACTCTACTGCTAAACCAGTGCTTTCTTGCATCCTTTCTTAACCTAAATTTATCCAACTTGAATACATTGCTTTGAGTCCCGTCTTCGATTATTGTCAGCATGTTACGTATTTATATCCCTTTTATTTATTCTGATTTCCATTTTGTACTCTTCAGTCATGATAATTATTAAATTTATTACAGTATTTGAGGAAGGTTAAAGTGCACCTACACCTATACCAGACCATAGGCTTGTACCTACTTCACAATCTACACCAGAACCTCTTGCAGTTATTATTATTATCATTATGGGGAAGTGCTAAACCCGTAGGGATTTTACAGTACCTGTGGAGGGGGGGGGGGGAGTGTGAAAGACATTGAGGCTCAATTCAGGGAACTGGAGCACAGATCCAGTTCCCCAGATCAAGAGAACCTCATCAGCATCAAGGAACCTTGAGGGTACCTGTAACAGTAATTACACCTTCAGGAAGCTACATGATACATTTGATTATTAGGTCATGTTGACAGTTGAGCATCTTGTGATAAATTATTTCATTCATCAGAGAACACACTAACTTCATTTCAGACACCTTCACTAATGCCCCAGCGTGATTTCTTTGTCTGCCCTCTCTGATGATACCACCTTCAATGCAGATTTTCTCTATGACTTCATGACACCAGTTTCCTACATTAACTGCTGATATCCCCTCTCACTTTTTGTTTTATCTCACCTCTACTATGTAGCAGTGAATGACCCTTATGAGTTGAGAACTCCACTAATATAATAATACATTTTGGACACAATTGTCTTATCTGCAGGTCCAGCAAAGACTAGTCAAGGCACGAGCAGACCACCGCTATAATCAGTCAGTACAAGAGTGCAGCTCAGAATCATTAGAAGAGACTGGTGACTTGTATGACACTGTGGCAAGAACCAAGGAAATCCATCAGTGGGCTAATAAATATCATCAGCTGTGCAAGAGGGAGTTCCGTAGTAAGAACGAAGTGGAATATTTGTGGAGGATGTCTCTCAGTTCTTCAGAAAGTGTAGAAGAGGAAGAGTCTGCGGAGGAAGAGGAAGACTACTTTAATGAAGAATTTGACTTGTATGATAAATGAAAGGTTCTTAAAATGTAGTAATTTTAAAGATTAAGCTGTATAACCCCGATAGTTTTAGCACTTTCATATGAATATAATGGAATTATTTACTATAGTATCCAAGTACTGTATGTCATATCCTATAACAAACACTACTTAGCCCATATATAACACAGTAGTAGTTTATTTTTTGTTTGACTATTCAGTGATTGGAGATACCTTTACACTATTCAAGATAATGTATCAGAACCATTATTTTTGTATACTGTACTACATGGAGAAATGCTAAATCTTTAGGGTAGGGGTCATACAGGGCCTGGAAAATGGGAGGTAATCAAGTTTAATCGAATAGGAATGTTTTCTGATTCCTTGAATCAAGAGCCATTCATAGCATCATAGCTTCCCCATTATGTTGTCTTCCTGTTTTACTTTTATTATAATCAAAAAGAATTGCTAAACCCCCATTTTACTTTGATGTTACAGTTCTTGCTGCATGCTCTAGTGTAGGGTAGTTCATTTATGCCTTATAAAGTCTAGGGGAATACAGTGGACCCTTGGTTTTTGTGAGTCTCAGTTTTCATGAAAGTGTCTTCTTCTTGAAAATGGAGTGAGGTGCAAATGTTTGTGGAGGAACATCACCCTAGCAAAGCTGTTGTAAGCCATGTCTGTGACAATGCCTTGTCCCATTTTAAGGCAATCTTAAAGAGACGCCAGAAACAGAGCTCTCTGGAACAATTTTTTGAGCGACAGGGGCCCAATGACTCAAGCTGGTCCTAGTGTCATTAAAAACAAAGAAGGGAAGTAACGCCAGATAAGGACTCGGTACCTAAAGTCTTTATGGAAGGGAAGCCCCCTTCCAAACAGTAGTAACTTCTCTCCTCTCATCTTCAGTACACCAACAGGAATCTTCAGTAAAGGTAAGTGTGATGTTGATATTTCTTTATATTGATTTTTCATCCTTTTCTGTATGTAAATGTATATTTAATCTAAAAATTATTTTTTGTTAATACTTTTGGGTGTCTGGAATGGATTAATTGGATTTACATTATTTCTTATGGGGAAAATGGTTTCAGTTTTTGTGAATTTTGGTTTTCGGCAAACACTCTGGAACGGATTAATCATGAAAACAAAGGGTCCACTGTACTTACATTCATGATTAGTCCACCTCAGTTTCTGAAAACTTATCACTCCTTTTGGAATAGGCTATTTAAAACTGTTCTACAAATGTAATTATATATTCAGTGGATAAGTATTTAGAGTATATAAATATGTAGTCTGGCCCAGCCTTCCACCACATGGGCACCCAGTCAGTCATCTGAAGCAATTACTTCTCCTTGGTGGCCTTAACCCAATGTTTTGACACACTGTCAACATTTTGGTTACTTATAAGTTTTACCTCTTGAGCAACTCTCATTTTGCCCAGAAATAGTTGTGTATCCAGACTGGGAGGAACTACCCAACAAAAAATGGATGAGCCGCCAAGCTCTCTTCTGCTTTTATACCGTGTTCCAGTTCCCTGAATGCCTCCCACCCCCCACCTGCACTGTATAATCCTATGGGTTTAGTGCTGCCCCATGATTATATTATAATCTGCTTTTATACTCACAAACAGAACATCACCATGCACAATTCTTTAATACTTGTTTGTTTTCCTCCCATTACTATACCTTATTTTCCTCTTCAAGGGGGGCTCTTTGTTGTGGTGAAGAGGCTCTTGGTCTGAGGAATTAGACCTGTCGGTCTCCTTCCTCAGACCGAACCTAATTACCCCCCAATCCCCCCTTCCCTATCCCATCCTCCCCTTTTTCCTTTCCTCCTCCCCACCCCTCCCTTTTGCCCCTCCTCTTTTTGGCCTTTGGGATTTCTCCCACAGGCGCGCTAGTTCCTAGGTAGGGGAAAGGATACCGGGGTCCATCCCATTCCGTTGAGGTTCTTGGCGGTGGCATAGTTTGCCGTGGAATCTGGATTGCCTGGGGATGTCTCGATCCCTCTCCGGTATCCCGGAGTGTAGCTCTGGAAGCCTCCTTTCGGATTCCGGGGGTGGTGGCCGAAGGAGGTATGCTTTGTGGCGGATATCCGGCCGCCCTCTCTTTTGTCCACCAAGGTAGCTCGGTAGATGCGAGGTTGCTATCCCAGATTGCTGGTTTACTGGCATGAAGGGTAGGGTATGGCACGGGTTTCATGCTGCATCTGCGCTACTAGCGGTGCTGAGGTTCTCTTGGGCGCGGAGGGAGATTTCCGGCCCTTTCATTCCTCCTGGGAACTATTCCTCCCCACTCCCCCCTTTTTTTATTCTTTTTTTATTTTTATTTTCTTTTCTTCTTTTTCTTAAAAACAAAAAGCAAAGGAGTAACCTAACCATGGAGAACCCAATCCATGAACCCACTACCCCCGGGCCCCTTCTTGATACCGCACCCCATTCTGACCCTGCCTTGTTTTTAGACCACTCTTCGGACACTCCTGATGCCCCTGTACTTCTTGCTGGTGCTGTTTCCTCACCCGCTTCAGGTACCGGGGCTACGACTGACTCCTTCGATTTGTCTGACCTCTGCTCTCCTTTGAGTATGCTTCCGGCCTCTCCCTCTACGGTACGGCAATTTTCGAATTGCCAGCCCGTTTCACAACGGATCAACTCCAGTCCTACTCCTAAACGCCAATGTCAATCTCCTGATGATGTTCCTTCGTTACCTTCCCATTCTACTCGGGAACGACCGACATGTCATGCACTCCCTCTCCATGCTCAGTTTCGGACCACACAATGGACTAAATTCTTTACTTTAAGACCGACTTCTAATTCTGCCTATCTTTCTGACCATAGTATTGGCAAAGCGTTCCTGCGTCATGTTGGTAGAGATATTTCATTTCATGCTCTCAAGAGCGGTACGCGCATTGTAACTGTCCAGAATGCTACCCAAGCTCATGATCTTTCTCTCCTTTCGCATATCGATACTACTCCTATCACTATTGAAAAACATCTTTCTCTCAATTCTTGTAGTGGTACTGTCATTCTGCCCCATACCATAGTCCAACAGAATTTCCAGTCATGTGGCAATGACATTCTTGAACAGCTGGAACTCCAGGATCTCCCAATCCTCAAAGTAGACACTTATGTCCTTCCTGCCCGCGGGCGGAGATGTTACCCTTGCAATGTGGCTCGATTAACTTTCGACAGCCGTGAACTCCCATCCTCTGTTTATGTTGCGGGACATCGGTTACAAGTTCGAAAGGTGATCCCTACACCGCAACAGTGTAGAGATTGCTGGCATTTTGGTCACCCAGCAAAATATTGCAGATCTATAGCCGAATGCCCAGTCTGTGGTGCCGACGACCATTCTAATGCATCTTGCAGTCAACCTCCATCTTGCCTTAATTGTAATGAGGCTCACCCTTCGTACTCTCGCCGTTGCCAGGCCTACTTGAATGAGCGTGAAATCCGTTGCCTCAAAGAGGCAGAAGGTCTCCCTTATGCTATGGCAGTTACTCATCTCCGCCTCCAAGGGAGACTACCCCATGTTTCTTATTCTCGTGTTTCAAAACGTCCCCCCACTTCTGGGGTCCCATCTTCTGCAGCCTCCTCTGTTGTTGCCCCTCCCATAGCCACTCCAGCATCTAATCCTTTTGCTGTCCTTGGCTCTGATGTCCCGACTACAACTCAGTCTGTTCTCACATCTTCGCGTCCTTCCTCACAAGCCCCAGTATCGACAAGACCCCGTACGACACCTTATACCAATCGCCCCTCTACTTCTCAGAAGTCCAAAAAATCCCGTGCTCAAATCTTCTATGCCCCTTCCTTCCCTTCTTCCACCTCCGCACTTTACCTTTCCAGTCTGTGTCTAGTTCTTCCCCTCTCACTGGCTCTATTACAAGTGTGGAGGTTCACCCTCCTCCTCGTACTATACCTTCCACCCCCATCCCGTCCCAAGTTTCCCCCTCTTCTGTCCCCTCCCACACTTCTCCTCCAGTTCCCTACACTCTTTCGTCCCCCTCTACTTTGGTACAGTCCATTACTGTCCCAATCTTTACTCACCCTCCTCCTTCTACCTCCAATATTGTCTCCCATACATCTTTGAATTCAGAAACACTTGAAGCCATTTCAGAATATATTGCAGAGACTAAACCTTCAGTGGACACTGATCCACCTCATACTCCCTCTCTTCCCTCTCCTCCATCTCCACAACTCCATTCTTCGCAACGCTCCGTTCCTTCGCTACTTGAACGTCTTCCAATGCTACCACACGTTGACTTTTCTAACCCCTCTAGTCCGTAGGTGCCCTTCCCTACGGATTCCTGGTATTTTCTTTATTGCCAATCATGGCCTATTTACAGTGGAATATCCGCAGCCTCAGGGGTAATCGGGGTGAGCTTCAGATGTTGCTTTCCAGGTTTTCCCCTGTTGGTGCTTGCTTACAAGAACCAAAATTACACTCAGCTGTTTTCCAACCTATCTCAGGTTATAATTTATTGTATTCTTCGGATCCTTTCTCAGATGGGACCTTTAATGAAAGTGCCCTTCTTCTATGCAATGATATTCTGTACTGTCAACTATTTGTCCATACCTCGCTGCATTACACTGCAGCCCGTATCCACTTCAATAAGTGATTTACAATATGTTCTTTATATCTCTCTCCTTCTCGAGCATTTTCTATCCCAGATTTTGCCTTTCTAGTTTCATCCTTACCACCACCACTACTGTTACTTGGTGATTTTAACGCCCACCATTTCCTCTGGGGGAGGGGTCTCATTGTGACTCACGAGGCATCCAGTTGGAGGCTTTTCTCGCCTCTCACCCCCTCCATGTTTTAAATACGGGTACTCCCACCCATTTGATCCTCGTACTCATACTCTCTCTTGCATCGATCTATCAGTCTGCTCTTCCTCCACTGCACTAGACTTCACCTGGTCTGTTCAACCGGACTTACATGACAGCGATCATTTTCCAATCATTCTTACTTCTCCTTCCTATTCGCCACCTTTCCGTAGCCCTCGCTGGCAATTTGATCGGGCAAATTGGGACCTTTACTCGCAACTCACTGCTTTTAGTGAGGTTCCTTCTTCATCCTCCATTGATGAGCTCCTACACCTCTTCTCGACGTCAGTTTATACCGCAGCTTCTCATTCTATACCCCAAACCTCAGGCAGGCATTCTCAGAAGTGCGTGCCTTGGTGGTCTCCTGCTTGTGCTCGTGCAGTACGTTTGAAACGCTCTGCATGGGGCAGGTACCGGTATAATAGAACCGCTGAGAGACTTCTTGATTTTAAGCAGAAGCGTGCAATCGCTCGCCGTGTCATCCGTGAAGCTAAACGCACTTGCTGGCGAGACTATGTTTCCACCATCACCTCTGCTTCTTCTATGAGTGCAGTCTGGTAAAAAGTGAGGAAATTGAGTGGTAAATACTCTCCTGACCCGGCTCCTGTTCTACGGGTCGCTGGTGTCGATGTAGCAAACCCTCTCGACGTTGCCATTGAACTTGGCACAAACCTGGTCCGTATTTCCAGGGGGCTCCATCAATGCCCCTCGTTTCTTTCCTCAAAGTCTGCCAGAGAGTTAGTACCCTTGGACTTTTCTTCTCTCAGAGAAGAACAGTATAATGTGCCTTTTACACTTCAAGAACTGGAGGCAACCCTCTCAGCTTGCCGATCATCGGCAGCTGGGCCTGACGACATTCATATTCGTATGTTACAACATTTACATCAGTCAGCCCTTGTAGTCCTCTTACACCTCTTCAATCTTATTTGGGCACAAGGAGTTCTTCCCCAGCTGTGGAAATCTGCCATTGTTCTCCCTTTCCGCAAACCGGGTACTACAGGACATGATGCCTCCCACTATCGTCTCATAAATCGACGTTTAATGTGGTATTTAGACACACACAACAGCCTCTTCGCTAGTCAATATGGCTTTCGTAAGGGCCGTTCTACCATAGACCCCTTACTACGCTTGGATACGTATGTTCGTAATGCCTTTGTGAATAATCACTCAGTTATTGCCATATTTTTTGACCTTGAGAAGGCATATGACACAACTTGGAGGTATAATATTTTGGCCCAGGCCCATTCCTTAGGCCTCCGAGGCAATCTACCATCCTTCCTAAAGAACTTTTTAACTGACAGACATTTCCGTGTTCGAGTCAATAATGTTCTTTCCCCGGACTTAGTCCAAGCTGAAGGTGTCCCTCAGGGATGTGTTCTAAGCACAACACTTTTTCTCCTTGCTATAAATGATTTGGCCTGTGTTCTTCCGCCCAATATTTGGTCATCACTCTATGTTGATGACTTTGCTATTGCTTGTGCAGGCGCTGACTGTCATCTCATTGCAGTTTCTCTCCAGCATGCGGTCGACCGTGTTTCCACTTGGGCCACCACGCATGGGTTTAAATTTTCAAGTACCAAAACTCGCCAAATTACTTTCACTAGACGCTCTGTCATCTCCAATCATCCTTTGTATCTCTATGGCTCCCGTATCCCCGAACATGATACAGTCAGGTTTCTAGGCCTTCTCTTTGACCGTAGGTTATCCTGGAAACCTCACATTACCTCTCTGAAGGCAACTTGTCACAGCCGGCTAAACCTTCTTAACCCTTTGACTGTCGCGGCCGTATATATACGTTTGCGAGGTACCGTGTTTGACGTATATATACTCATAAATTCTAGCGGCTTCAAATCAGGCAGGAGAAAGCTAGTAGGCCCACATGTGAGAGAATGGGTCTGTGTGGTCAGTGTGCACCACATAAAAAAAATCCTGGAGCACGCAGTGCAAAATGAGAAAAAAAAAACTCCGACCGTTTTTTTTAATTAAAATGCCGACTTTGTGGTCTATTTTCGTATAGTATTTGTGGTTGTATTCTCGTTTTCTTGGTCTCATTTGATAGAATGGAAACTATATTATAGAAATGGAGGTGATTTTGATTAATTTAACTATAAAAAGAACCTGGAAATGGAGCACAAAGTACAGGAAATGTTTGATTTTTGCCGATGTTCAAAAGTGAACAAATGATGTCATTGTCCAATAAATGTCCAAATAGCCATTCTAATACGCAGTCATGAATGGGTTGATGTAATTTTTACAATTATTACAGTATTGCAGTAGTCTGCATAACAGTAAATCTTCTATTTTTTGTTTGAATAAAATTTCAAAATAAAAAGCAAGAGTAATATCACAGGGACCTGGAGACATGACTGATGAACAAAGAAAATGTTATTTTAGAGCCAGGAATGTCTGCATTGTTCATTCTGGACCTTATTTTGAAATTGTCGTATTTTTTAATTTTCGTGAAATTGGCCAAATTGCAAATTTCTGACCATGTTATTGGGTAGTTGAAATCGGTAAATGGGCAGTTTCTTGTACTCAATCGATAGAAAAAATAGAGTTCTGAAGAAATAGTTATGAGTTTGGTTGACTGGAATAACGGAATTAGCCGAAAATAGGGCTCAAAGTGGGCGAAATTGCCGATTTTTAAATATCGCCGAAGTCGCTAACTTCGCGAGAGCGTAATTCCGTCAGTTTTCCATCAAATTTCGTTTTTTTGGTGTCTTTACAATCGGGAAAAGATTCTCTATCATTTCATAAGAAAAAATAATTTTTTTTTTTTTCGAATATTTTGCGACACCAGAAGCAACTTCAGGATTTGGCCCTTCGACAGTCAAAGGGTTAAAACCCTTGCTCATCTTTCCTGGGGAGCTGATCGTCGAACTCTGCTTCGCCTACATTCAGCCCTCGTTTTATCAAAACTCGATTATGGTGACCAGATTTATTCAGCGGCCTCTCCTGCTACTCTCTCTAGCCTTAACCCCGTCCATCACCAAGGATTACATTTGTGCTTTTTGCTCTTCCCCTGTTGAGAGCCTCTATGCAAAAGCGAATGTTCCATCCTTGTCTGATCGCCGTGATGCCCATTGCCTTCGCTATGTACGCTCTCACGATGTCCACAATCCTTCCATTTATAGAATGGTCACCGATATTAGTAGACATTCTTTATTCGTTCGCCGCCCCTGTTTGCTCCATCCCTTTTCTCTTCGCCTACATTCACTCTTGTCTTCCCTCCAGTTACCACCTTTATATGTTCATGTAGCATCTCTTTTTCCCTACCCCCCTGGGAAGTTCCAGCTGTTCGGGTCTGTTCTTTCTCACTCCCTTGCTCGAAAGCTCAACTGCCTACGGTGGCTTCCCGCTCTCTTTTTCTTGATCACTTCCACTCCTATTCTCATGCCATCGCTGTGTACACAGACGGCTCTAAGTCTTCAGACGGCGTCGGATTCACAGCAGTGTTTCCGGACGGCGTCGTGCGGGGGCATTTACTATCTTCGGCTAGCATTTTTACTGCTTAATTGTATGCCATTCTTGCAGCACTTATTCGTATTGCATCTATGCCTGTGTCATCATTTGTAGTAGTCTCAGACTTCCTTAGTGCTCTACAGGCTATACGAAAATTTGATACGTCTCATCCCCTAGTTCTCCGTATCCAACTTTGGCTATGCCGTATCTCTACCAAGCATAAAGATATTATTTTTTGTTGGGTCCCTGGTCATGTCGACGTACAGGGCAACGAAAAGGCAGACACTGCTGTGCGGTCAGCAGTACATGACCTACCAATTTCCTATAGAGGTGTTCCATTTCTGGACTATTTTGCTGCAATAGTTACCCACCTTCACGCCCGTTGGCAACAACGTTGGTCAACTCTGCTTGGTAACAAACTTTATTCTATTAAACCGAGCATAGGTTACTGGCCGTCTTCTTGCCATCAGTGCCGTGGTTGGGAGACCACTCTCTCCCGTCTTCGCATTGGCCACACTCGTCTTACTCACGGGTATCTCATGGAGAGGCACCCTGTACCTCTCTGTGAGCAGTGTCAAGTTCCAGTATCGATTAGCCACATTCTGTTAGACTGCCCTCTCTATCAACGAGCACGCAGAATTTACCTCCAACGTCGTCTTCGTTCTACTACTCTCTCTCTACCTTCCCTTCTTGCTGAAGGACCCTCCTTTAATCCTGACTCTCTCATTGACTTCTTGACAACGACTGATATACTCCACAAACTCTGATGATGATACCTTACGCACTCCCCTCAGCCCTTTCTAGCTCAGTCTCTTGCTGCCCTTTACCCTTTCACCATCCACTGCCCAGCTGTCATCTGTAACCTATTACTCATCCACCTCCCTTTTGCCACCTGATGCCCTCGCTTCCTTCCTGTCCTGCAGCGCTGTATAGCCCTTGTGGCTTAGCGCTTCTTTTTGATTATAATAATAATAATATACCTTATTTTACCTTTAATATACTGTCTTTACAATTGTGTGTTTTATAACAGAACCTATTTCCATTGAAATATAGGGTTAACACGTCTGGCCCCTCCACATTAGTTCTCTTGGCAGAATTAAGGCAGTTGTGCCCCCATCAGTTCAGTATCATTAGGGTCCCAGGACAAACATTTTCTAATATGCCGTAGTGTTTGCTTATGTCTTTCCAGTGCTTTTGTACCCCACTTGTATGTTTACATCACTCCTTCAGAAGGCTTACAAAACAATCTATTCATCTAATCTTTATTTCAGGATTACCAATTATAAAGTTAACAAAAAATTACAGTAGGTATGTGTGAATGATTAGAAGAACATCAATGCTTCATAACCCAAATCATAAGTTGTTCACTGTAATCACTTGTAATGAATAAGCTTTGAAATGGAGTTTTGTTACTACAAAGTAAAAAGTGTTTACACCATTTGAACAATCACACAGTTTCTAAAACGCTTATTATCGTGTATCCTGTGTGTAAAGACCAAAGTAGAATGCCTTACTGGCCTAAACCACAGTACAAGTACAGCTGTTAAAAAAGATAGCAATGTAATGTGTGAGAGTGAACAGCTAGAAACGAGAATGGATGGTACACAAGTGGACAAACTATTATGTCTGGGATGCTGCTTAAACTGCAACATGGCACAGGCATTCCATTCACTATACATCTAGCAATTTCTTTTATATCAAACCAAAATAGCTTAAAGAAGACAATACTGTACCTATACTCAATTTGAGAAATGCTGTTAGTCTACTGTAAATTCCTATTAATATACATTTTTTTTAAGTTTATATCATGAACAATATTAAATATATTCTAATAGTGTAATAGTTATTGTAACTCCCATTTTCCAATACTATTTCCATTCACAATTTGCATTAGGTTTTAATTTTCCCCCTTTGCTCTATTAGATAAATTTAACTTAAAAGGCCACTGATGAATCACATTGGAAGTTACAATATATACTGATATATGAGATCAACTGGAATGATGCAGAATTTTGAGACAACTTATCTTTGAAATGTAAGGGTTTCAAATTTTATTGCAATACATTTACTTATGCTAAGGAAGTCTTTAAGTTACAGGTTCACCTCATGTCCTACTGCACACATGGAAGATTGTAAAGTTCCACCGACAAAGTAAACATCAAAAATGCACAACACTGTAAATCAAGTGTCACAAGGGAAGAAGGGTTATGAGCTAATCTAGCAATCACAACGGTTCTCAAGGCGACTACACCTTCAACATCTAGTCCGACTGTATTGTTGAAACTAGTTATATTTAACGGTATTCCCTGACTTATGAAATAAGTATAGCTATATACTGTACATATAAAGTCTGCTATTTTTCAGGGGTAATTTTCTGGTAAAAAAAAAAAAAATCATCCTATATCCAGCTCAGACAAGTCAAACTATAATATGAAATGTGCACAGAGTTGTTCTGTGTATGTGTGTCAATGTACAATATGTGTATAACTCTTGAAAGTGAATTCAATCTTTACTTTGCATAGATTAACACTGGCAACACCAAATATGCTTGGAAAAAGCACTGCAAAGTTAATTAATATAAAAGCACATAATTACAAATTATAATTGTCATAAACAATTTTCATCCTTCCTATCATGCAAGCATTGCCTCACACTTCACAAATTGTCAGTAAAGATGAATGATGACAATGTTTGGAACAGATATTACTCAAGATAAAAATGTACAATTAATTTACTGATAATTGTATGGATTTTTTTCCTTGCCTAAATTATGGAATAAGGAGATTGAATGAGATAAGAAATTAACCTAACATACACAGGTATGGGAAAATTTATCATACAAGGTAAGGTGTATAATTAATCACCATTAATAAATAAAAGATGAGATTGTCTTTGACAATCATCACAAAATATTCAAATATTATAAAGTGAGATTCCAGGAAGAATCATAAGTCTGACTACAGTACTTTAAAATGTAAGGAACAAACACATTAACTATCACAACATAACTTTGTACTTTGTGAAGCGCTAAACTCGTGATAGTCACACAAACCAAGGAATGATGCAGGCTTAAATATACAAGAATAGAGGAGCACTGCAGTAGGCCTACTGGCTCGTGCTAGGCAGATCCTCAAACCCAGCCAATTTCACTCATCATTTATTTGTCTAACCCTTTTTTATAACTATTAGTTCAATAACTATTTGGCAGTTTGTTTTACTTATCTACAACTCTACTGCCAAACAAGTACTTTCCAGTATTTTTTCTAAATCTCAATTTACCCAACTCAAATATAATGTTTCAAGATCTTTAATGGGTAGCAATCTCCAGAGCCTTCATTATTCTTTAGTTGTACGATTTGCATAGGTTTATTGCTTCACACAAAGTAAACATGAGAACAGCATGCCAAGTTGTAACAATGTAAAACATTTACATTACAGAAAATGACTAAACAATATATAAATAACAATGATTGTACTATACAATGAGAATTTATAAATACAGTAGTACTGTACAAAGTAACTATGTTATGAGACTTTAAAGACTATTTAAAAAACATAGCATTCCACTATTTTAGAAATGGTTAATTTTATGCTGTTACAAAAGTATAACAATGTTGACATTTCTTTATAAGTAGGTTATTTAACAGATAGTTTAATGATGGTAAAACACTTTGATGTGTAGTATATGGAAGCTAATGAAGTAAAAATAAAAATAGCCAATTTAAAAAATTCATAAACATTACAGTACACAGACTCCCTGGGAAAATGCTACAGTCACACTACTGTATGAACTAAAGAAAAAATAACTATTAACTGATGTAAAATGAAGAGGCTTACAATTTGCATTGATAACTGCTTGTTAAACTACATATAACAAAAGTAAAACATCCTTAATGTTATGGTATCCCCAGACCCTTGTGAGTTTAGCATTTTTTGATTATAATAATAATGTGGTATCCCCTGCATGTTAGCTGCTGTTTAGCCTCTAGCCAAATGATCTTTCACAGAAGGGTGCCTTCATACTAAAGGGTTCTTAATCCAATGAAGTGGAGCTACCTTCCTCTTCCTTGAATTAAATGATTACCTCCCATTCCCAGGTGATGTATGACCCCTATGGTGCAGGTTCATCATTTGTTGGTGAAACATTTCCACAGTAAAGATTCCCAAATGTTGCAAAAGTGTTTAAGTCTTTAACATGATCCCTATGGGTTAAAGTAGTGCAATAATCCACTGGAAAGTGCTTCAAGCCTTACTATGTTCCCATATTTTATTTATAAGGATGCTATCTTGGCAAAATATTGAATAAAGTGATAGCTCTGCCTAACATCAAGTGTTTTACTCAAGTTGTGCACTGCTGAAGCTAAATGGCTTATTATTATTTTTTAACATAATGGCTGTCTCCCACCAAGGTAGGGTGACCCAAAAAGAGGAAATGAACTCACGATCATTTGTTCAATTGCCGTCTGTCTTGCCAAAAGCGTGCTGACATCACAGTTTAGATGACTCTCCGAACTGCAACACCCTTACCCCTCCTTCAGAATGTAGGCACTGTACTTCTCACCTCCAGGACTCATATCCAGCTATTACAATCACAAAAATGCACCAGCCTGTGGGCTAAAAAGTGCCATAAGGTAGAGAGAAGCTAACATTGGGGGGGAAAAAATGCAACAGGTGTGCTTATCACTTTCAGTTAAGTGAAAATGAATAAAGATCTAATTAAATGGAAAACTAATGTTTAGAACAGTAATGCCAATAACACAATGAATACAAAGCTGCATATCTGTGTGATGCAGTAATATTACAAGTGCATAAATAACACAAATACAAAATTTAATACGAGTTTCTGAGCTTGTTTACATAATTACGTTTGATATTAACTCCCGTCTTTAACAAGTTATAATTTCTTGACAAGATCCCAATTATTTGGTAATCTTTATTGAGGTTTTGACCAATGACAAGTTGAAGAATGATCCAGTTGTGCAACATCTGTTGCAAAAGTGTCTCATGCTTCATCCTGAGTAATGTATTTCAGTAAACTGAAAATATTATCAGGGAATGAGTGCATATGTTTACTTTTATGGTGCCTAGTTGGATACTTGACACAAGACAACATTACTTGGATCATGGATTTCCCACATGGGAAATCTAAATACTAAGATATGCTTCAAGTGATTAGTTCTACATAAAAAAAAAACTGTACTATGCTTGTTAAATATAATAAAATTAAACTTTCATTTGCCTTCATTTTCTATGAACATTGTTTAGCTAATGCTATTCTTAATTCTCATAACTAGCCTGGATAGGGTCAAGCTAATGTAAATGTTTCTGTACACATTATCAACAAAACAAGTCACTAACATACACATCTGTAAGAAGGCAAGGGAAGGCCCAACATTATCTATATACACTACAACTATTCTCTTTCTGAGTTAACTATTTACATGAAATTTTAATGTTTACTACCGCTTTGATTGTTTAACATACTGTACATTTTCCTCCTTCTGATTTCATTATCATTGGTTTTGTGTGTGTGAGAGAGACAGAGAGAGACAGACAGAGAGAGAGAGAGTGCAAGAGAGAGAGACAGAGAGACAGAGAGAGACAGAGAGAGAGACAGAGAGAGAGACAGAGAGAGAGACAGAGAGAGAGAGCAAGAGAGAGAGAATTATTTTTGTGTGTATATATAATATATTATATATATATATATATATATATATATATATATATATATATATATATATATTTATTTTTTTTATTATCACACCGGCCGATTCCCACCAAGGCAGGGTGGCCCGAAAAAGAAAAACTTTCACCATCATTCACTCCATCACTGTCTTGCCAGAACATGTAATATATATATATATATATATATATATATATTACATGTATATATATATATATATATTCTTCTTTCAACATATATATACATATATGTATATTTTCATATAGTCGGACTTGAGTCCTGGAAATGGGAAGTACAATGCCTGTACTTTAAAGGAGGGGTTTGGGATATTGGCAGTTTGGAGGGATATGTTGTGTATCTTTATACGTATATGCTTCTAAACTGTTGTATTCTGAGCACCTCTGCAAAAGCAGTGATAATGTGTGAGTGTGGTGAAAGTGTTAAATGATGATGAAAGTATTTTCTTTTTGGGGATTTTCTTTCTTTTTTGGGTCACCCTGCCTCGGTGGGAGATGACCGACTTGTTGGAAAAAAAAAAAAAAAAAAAAAAAAAAAAAAAAAAAAAAAAAATTTATATATATATATATATATATATATATATATATATATATATATAATATATATATATATATATATATATATATATATATATATATATATATATATATATATATATATATATATATATATATATATATATATATATGGCATCCCTGTTAATTTGCAACTGTAACTCGGAACACTGTTCTCTCAAAACTGACCCCTCTGCCATTTATTAAATTGGAAAACTCAAGAAATCTGGTCCAACCAAAATAAACGCCACACTATAGGTGTAGGACAAATGGGTTATAAGTGTATGCCTTTAATAATTTTTTTTTTTGCTGGTACAGTATTGCTACTGGTACAAAAATGTCACTGGAGGGTGTGAAGCAAGCACTGAGTCCATATATTAGTAGGTCTACAGTTGGAACTGCTAGGACTCATGGTGATGGTAGTATTTAATAAGCAAGATAAATATGTAGAGCCTGATCAACCAGCTTGTGATAAATATGAGGGTCACTAGCAACAACCTAGTTGATCAGGCAGTCAATAAGGGAATGAGCATTACACAATTATTCTTAGGCCTACAGGTGCTTCAGTGATACAAGAATGATACAGTAACTACTGTACTGAGAGGTAGAATAACTAAATCAACTGGATAAAGGAATAAGTATCTAAAAACAGAGCGTTTTAAGTTTTGTCAAGTGTAAATACTTAACATGACCTAACAAAGATCTCGACATAAGTGACTCGCAGCTCAATGGTAACGCCTTTAACTCAAAACTGAAGGACACAGGTTCAATCCTGGGGTAGATGATGGTGAACATTTTTCCATACATCTGTTGCCCTTGTATGCCTAGAAGAAAATAGGTACCCAGGTATTGGCCAACTGTTGTGGATGCACCCGCAAGAAGAAATAATACATCATCATGGAAAACAGAATTGAAACTAATTGCACAAGACACTATTCAAGATAGTGATGAGCAACCAATCAATGAAAATACAGGGTATCCATGTTTCATTTACAGATACACAGTAGAGCACATAGGGTATCCATGTTTCATTTACAGATATGCCTGTAGAGCAAACGGTATCCATGTTTCATCATGACTCAAGCATCAAAAATGAGTATACAGTGGTTCCTTGACTTACGAGTTTAATTCGTTCAGTGACAGAGCTCGTAACTCAATGTGCTCGTATATCAAACCAATTATTCTCATTGAAATTAATTGAAATGCCATTAATCCATTCCAGCCCCCCCCCCCCCAAAAAAAAAAAACAATTTTTTGGTTATGGGTTGTTAAATAAGAAAAATGTATTTATAAATAAGAAATATTGTATACTCCACCCACCACTATCAGTAAGTACTCCACCCACCACCATCACTACTCCACCCACCACTATCACTACTACACTGACCACCATGACTACTACCACTATCAGTACCCCACCCACCACTATCACTACTCCACCCACCACCATCACTACTCCACCCACCACCATCACTACTCCATCCACTGCCATCACTACTCCACCCACCACCATCACTACTCCACCCACCACCATCACTATTCCTCCCACCTTAATGTTTCTGGAAAAACCTCTGATTGTTGAAATGGAGGTTACCTCTTCCCCAGATTCATACAAAAACCAAACAAAGATGAGGTGCCTCACTACAATCTGTGATTAGTGTGGGAGTATTATCCTTCCAGTTATGGACTGGAAGTGCATGTGGGATGGGATGAAGTTCCTGACATTCCTCTGGGTACAGAGTTGGATTTGACTTCAAATACACTGCCAACTAGTGGCGGCATACCTGAAGCTTGCTCATAACTTGGATTTTGGCTCTCAACTCAAAGCAAAAAATCGATTGAGCGACAGCTCGTAACTTGGAAAACTCCCAAGTTGGGGCACTGGTAAGTCAAGGTACCAGTGTATTTAAAATGCAACTCCAAAAAAGAATAAATAATTTATGAATGGATTCAACCCTGTAACTGAGGCCCAAGAGAGCAAAAATAATTTTATGAATATAGTTAATGACATTAACATTGCCAAGTAAAGAAATGCTGGCACTGCCCCTGGCTTTCATATACAATTCTCCAATGACATTTGATTTTTGTAATTCCTGGCTGTTACAGTGCTACTGACTACTGAGTCTTCCTGTATTGGTGATAGGTTATGGAATATGGATGGAGGAGGAAGTCACAGAATTTTTTGTCAGTTCTGATTTGTTTGTAAAAATCATAAGTAGATTAGAATGTTTTTTATGGTAAATGCAGAACATTTATTTTCTCTAAATCTAGTATGTTGGAGAAAATTCTCCAAAAATTTTAGCATAGAAAATAAAGAACACAAGTAACAATATGTGCCCCATAACTCGATCGCTAGCACACTTGGCTCACACACTGATGTCCGGAGTTCGAATCCCCGGTACGGCTGGAAAGCAGTAGGACGCGTTTCCATAAGACACCTGCTATCCATGTTCACCCATTAGTATAAAATGAGTACGTGGGTATTAGTCAACTGGTATGGGTCGCATCCTGGGACAAAATTAACCTAATTTGCCCGAAATACTCTGCACAAGTGGCTTTCTACATAGTAGTGTGTCACTGATGTCAGTTAGGCCTGTATACCTTATACATGTACTTGCAGAAATAAAGATTATTATTATGTGGCTGGAACAATTTGCACCTAACCCATTTTCAGTCTCATCTGGACCATTATTAAGCCATAAGCAAGAATGGGAAAGGGAGAAAACCACAAGTCATTTGTTATACATTCAGTCTACAATGACCTTCCATATATTCAGTCTACAGTCCTCTACTAGTTCATACATCTGCTCTAAAGCATTTTACTTATTCATGTATTCAGTACATTTTGCAGAGTTTACAAGGGCTGGGACAAAGGTCTTGCCCCGTTATATTCAACACACACTACTGCACTTACCTACTGGGCGATTGCTAAGCCTGTACAAAAGGTTATATTTCTTCATTTTCTAATTTTCTTGGATGACTTGGCACCAAACAGCGAAAGTAGGGTACATATAACATTATCTACAACTTAGGTGTAAAATATTATTCTACAAATGTAATATTCAAATACAAGATTACTTCGGTAGGCCATAGTAAATTCTCTGAGGTCCCAGGGTATAAAATAAGAATTTTTTAGAGACCCTGGGGGAAGTTTTACATTTTAATCAAAATATTAGATTAACAACCACATTAACCTGAATTAATCGTTGCTAAAGCTCCTCTTGAGCAAAATATATTATAATAAATGCTTATGCTGTTTTGTCTCTCTTTCATCCTAAGATATGGGAATTACATTTATCATTAATGGAGAAACGTCTCGTGACACAAGTCTGTCATATGACTACCCAATGACTAGAGTG